CTGGTCGTGGCGGCATCAGTAGAAGACCATCTGGACGAGTACCGCCAGGTCATCCTCAGAGCTCTGCTGCGGACAACTCTTTCAACTCGAATCATCCTTCGGAACGAGATGGCAGTGCAGCGCCCTACGCCAGTGGTCGTAGACCGGTAGGTGTTCTCACGGCAACACTCGTTTTTGTCCACCAAAGTCTCATTGGTTTTTCATTATTCAGTCTGACATCTGAACTATCACCCTCCACCGCGACTGCGCAAATTCTGCCAGTCCTCAATCTGAAATGGAGGTTTCCCGGGAAATAAGATATCTCAGAAGTCATAAGGCCTCCGGCCCAGACGAGCTCTCCCCATCCGTTTTTAAAGATGGAGGTTTAGCATTGGTTTCGGAGTTAACGAAACTCCTAGGCTCAGTGTGGGAGAGGAAACTGGTTGAAGCTGAATAGTGTAAATCGGTCATCATACCGATTTACAAGAAAAGTGACAGATCCTCTTATGAAAACCACAGAGGAATTTGTTTAATCGACAAGGCCTCTAAACTTCTCGCTGGTATCATACTCCGTCGATTGTCTGCCTCACATGAAGAGTGCTCGCGTGAGAACTAGGCTGGTTTTATACCTAGTCGAGGTTGTATCGACCACATCTTCACTCTCCGCCAAACTCTGGAGCGCCGACATACTCTTCGTAGACCCACCATCTCTGTCTTCCTAGATCTGAAAGCGGCTTTCGTCTCAGTCGACCACTCTAAACTCTGGCGCTGCCTTTCCCCTAAGAGTGTGCCCGAGAATTAATTTCAATATTACGATCGCTTTATATTAATAGCCGAAGTCGAGTCCGAGCTTACGGCACTTTTTCGCCCATAGTTCACCATAAAAAGTGGTGTTCGATAGGGTTGCCTTTTCTACCCTTTTCTATTCATCTTTGTTATAGTCTGATTATGGAAACAGCCCTATCCTCGTGCGAGGATAGTGGCATCGATTTACTCCCAGGTGGCAAGCTGTCTGCTCTAGGGTATACAGACGACATTGTGCTACTAATTGAAGGTTCGGGTAAGCTTTTCTGGAAAGTTTGAGTGCTGGTGTAGCCATGTTCGGTATGCATTTTGCATCTTCAAAGTGTAAAATGCTACTGCAAGATTGGGTTGGCCCAGCACCCAGTCTCACTCAACTGGGGAAGTAATAGAACAGGTGGATAAGTTTTGTTACTTGGGCAGCTACATCTCACCTGCTGGACGCATCATGGATAAAGTATTAGCTCGCATACAGCAGGCTCGGTTGGCATATGCCAACTTGAGGCATTTNATTTGTGGCGTCGTCGCGACATCCGGCTGTCTGTGAAGGGTCGAGTTTATGCTGCGGCAATTCGGCCAGTCCTGCTATACGGTGCAGAAACTTGGCCATTAAGAAAACAGGACAAAGATAGATTGTTAGTGTTTGAACATTGTGCCTACGCAGCATTGCACTAATCTGGTGGGGCAGCCGGACGAGTAATGATGAGGTCAGGCGAAAAATGTTAGACTATCTTTGTCGCCCACTGGAGCTAGTGGTCGACCTCCATAGATTACGTTGGTTGGGGCATGTGTTACACATGCCACCAGATAGGTTGTCACGGCGAGCGATGTTTACCGAGGCAGGTAGTGGGTGGCATGAAGCCAAGGGTGGTCAAGTTAAGACCTGGCATGAGGGTATGAAAACCGTAACCAGGAATCTTAGTCACATAGGTCCCGTTAGGCTCCCTGGATGGGGGCCTCGGGATGGTCGTATCCGATGGATAGAGACACTGAGTGATATGGTTGGGTGTCTTAAACAGTGGAGTTCGTATACTTCTCAATTTTTCTGTATCATTAGTCCACTGAACTTTTCAATTTTCTCTTCGATCCTACTTTCAACTTTTCCTGACTTTCCCCTCATGTTCCTCCAAATGGGCAGCCGATAGGTAGCAACCAAAATCGGCGCACGGAAGTGCATCGTTATTGGCTGTGCGAACTGAACTGAACTAAACTGATTATTCAGTCTCAGTTTCGCATGTCCTCAATCGTACTGCTTTATTTGAGTCCCATCACTGTCTAGTGAGATGAATTTGTTTTAGGGAAGCGCCGGATTTGCGATGTTTATTTTCTATACTTCGTAATGTTTGACATTCTAAACGTGTCGTCGTCCTCTTGATCCGAACGCAATCCCATTTCGAACTCCTCGTATCTCTTGTGATTTGCCGTGCAATAATAATGGTTTGACTGGCACAAAAATTTCATGCACAACAAACGCCAGCTGCTCCTTGCACATTGAGACAATTTCGTCAATATGCAATGTGACCGAAAATCAGTTAAACTGTCCATCTGAACTTTTTTAAACACGGTTTTACTTTTTGTCCTATCCTTCTGTTTGTCTCTAGTTTTCATCTGACCACATTTCTGCCCATTTTTCACTTGTGTTTATTTTAAGCCCCGTGGCGGAGCACGCCCATACAATGGAGATTCTCGTGGCCGTCGCGGTCGAGGATCAGCTC